CCCCATTCCCAGTAAACAGGCCAGGCCACATCACAGTAATCTCGTGATGTGGGTTCTTTAACGCCCCCTGCCGAAATTAACTAATTGATAGGTGCAGGAGACGGAACCTCCGGCTTTACGTCCTATCCGAGAAGACGAAGCAATGTGAGTGAAGCGTCTTGCTTAAGGACACAACGTCAAGCCAGGACTTGAACCCGGGCCATCTGACCCAAAGTCCAGCGCACTGACCACTGGACTACACACGCCTCCCGGGTACGACTGACCTTGCTTTCTATTCGCTAACGTAATGACAGTTTTGACAGTTGGCTTCGAAATGGCTTTCTGGAGCGCGCGCTCAGGATGAAAACAAACAATATTATTGCTGTTATCTTGTTTTCCTATTTTTATTCAATGATGCGATTCAAGGAAAATTCACTGCCTGACTCGTGAATTCCGCGTTAAATTGCACGCAAAAACCGATGTCGCACGAATGGCGAAGCGATGAGTGCGATATCGGTTTTGAAGTGCAATTAAACGCGGAATTCACGAGTCAGGTAATGAATTTTCCTATAATATTTACTGTTCCAATGAAGGGCCCCCAACATTACAAAGCTTTAGTCAGAAAGCTCAGGTTTTTTGTCAGCCATAATTCGCTTCGCGTTTGCGAATGAAATATCGTCAACACCAAAACTAATTTGGTTGCTTGGAAGAACTACAAGCTCTTTGTTTTTCGAAACGAGTATCATTGAGCATATTTTCTTTTCATTGTGTCTTTCTCAATCGGGATAGAAGAGTAAAAAATTTAAAGGTTTGAAACCTCGCGGCTAAACTAGACAGGAACTTTCCACCGAAGTGAAACTGCACACGTCCTGTGATGGATACACGGCCGTGCAGCACTTAACGAGGACTTTTCCATAGTAACACCGTAATAAATAGGTAGGCCTTACGCACGCGCTGTTATAAAAATTAGTAGATACCGCATTTATAAGATGATTGTCTTTCCGGGAGTCAAGAGGGAAACAAAGCAACTTAATGAGAATTTTAAGAGTAAGTGCTGTTTAGCCTCCTCTGCGAACGGATGGGTGAATAAAGATCTGATTCGCGACTGAGTGCAAAGAGTATTGGACAAGTTCCCATTTACTCGTCGGATGTTGGCTTGGGACTCTTTCAAATGCCACAACCCACAAACAGACCTAGCAAGAACTAGTGCAGTAAAAGATCAATCCTATCATAATACCCGGCGGGTGTGTACTAAGCATATCCAAGCCCCTGACGAGTCATGGAACAAGCCCATAATGCAAGAGTAACCGAAAATTATGATAAGTGGATGGCTGAGGGAGCTCATTCATTTCCAGTAGCAGGTAATAAGTGTGCCCCACCACGTCGCGAAATCGCTCAGTGGTTTCTTGAGGCCAAAGATGGTCTGAATAGATAGTTACTTGTCTGTTCTTTTAGAAGCTGTGCATTAACTGTGGATCCTGATGGATCTCAAAATGATCAAACTCATTGCCTAACGAGGGGTCAGCTTTGTCATGCGGGTCTGGATCGCCCAACATCCATCCAGCAAGCTGTATCTGCTTCCCGGGCGAACTAGTACTATTAGGATACTACACCAAAGATGGAGTTGTCTTCAATGTTTTACAGAAACCTTGCTTTGTTACATCTTCGCCTTTTGTTTTGCCTTTTAATGTTTTGTTGTAAAATAAACTTACTACACTGGCTGAAAATGGTAAAATTTCATAAGCGCCAAACCTAGAATTAGCACCCATCTCGCATAAGCACCCACTCTTAAAGTCCAAAAATTTAATAAGCGCCCAGGGCAGTTCACTGAGTAAATGCGGTATTCCCAATAACTCCTTCGGTAGTTGTAAACTTGCTCTGTTTTTCCCAATCATTGGGCTCATTTTCACTTGTCACGAATATGCGCTGCGAATATCAATTCGAAATTTTCGTGGGAAGTAAAGTATCCAAATAGAACACTACCTTTTTGTCTCAGTGTTTGTCAGTGGGTACAATACAATATTAAGCAGTGTAATACAATACAGAAACATTCAAATGATCTGATTATTTGAATACATCTTTAATTTAAATTTATTTATTCATTTGTAAGGGATATTTTCACTTACCGCCACCATTTGATTCCATTATTAACTGCACATTATTTTCCATTTCAGCATAGCCTGAAATCCCTTTCAAGGAGAGCTTTTCTGCATGTAGATGCACGATCCGGCTTCAATCGACTGCAAGCCGCTGTATTTCATGATGACTATGACACAGTTTGGGAAGCTCAATGCTGCCTCGAGGATCATGTTCAACACATGAATTATCAAAAAACAGGAAACCAAGCAAAGGTATCTCCTGGAAAAACTGCGTTAGAGATTCTCTTTGCCCTCCAAGAAAAAGGAGAAGGAAGTGTTGAAATAGAAAAAATGTACAAAGAGTACGTTGAAAAGATCGATACATTAACTGAGCTGCACTTATGTAGAGGAAGCGATGACGCAGAGAAGGCTGTCGAGATTGTTCTAAACGACAGGGTAGACGTAGATATCCCAGCAAAGAGCAATCGTACGCCTTTGATGTGGGCAAGTACATCATCATCTGGCGAGTTTATCCAGACCCTCATTGATCTTGGAGCTGACGTAAATGCTCAGAGACCAGATGACAATGTCACGCCTTTAGTTGTGGCGGCGCATTTTAACAATTATGGAGCCGTTAATATTCTCTTGAACCACGGAGCTCAAATGAACATTCAAGATAATTACGGAGAACAACCATTGCACGACAGTGCTAAACAAGGATTTTTTAACGTCTCCAA